TTATTTTTTAATTTTGCGATTCGAAATTTCGGATTCTCAGAATTATAATTCTTAAGAATTATAGATAGCATGTACAACTTCTTTACCGGTTATATTCTCCTGATACTTTTTCGATTTTCGCGATACGAAATCTGGAAATTGGAATTCGTGCAATTGCGATTCTTAAAAGTGTGAAAATTTCTTTGAATTTTAGATATAAATGTCATCGCTTTGCTTATTATTCTCCTAATAGTACGCTTTATTGATGTTATCATGATTGTCGTTATCAAAATGTAATCGAACAATTCTTAGATATAGTTCCTTTTTCTTATATGTATACGTATACATAAATACTTAATTAATAATCATAAACACATTATTTTTCTTCCAGTAATGGTACCCGTTTCATCCACAGTAATTCCATTGCCCGTGTACAAAGTTGGCTACGGCTTAGGCTTCATATCGAAAGATAAGAAGGCCCAATCGTTCAAACCGGAAGGTGGCATAAAATTGATTACGAGTAAGTATAACTTAATATACATATATTATAGTTTAAATAAAATGACGATATCTTGTTTTCACAGTAAATTCTTTTTCGTAACTTTCTCTTTTTCTTTCTTATCAGCAGATCGCGACGCGTGGGTATACGTGAGCTCACGTGTGTAAAATATATATCTTACTCGTAAATGTTACGTGAATAGGGTACACGGTTGCACCAATTTTTTACACGATTCACGTAAGCGATATTCTACGTAACCGTTGTAATTAATATTGATTTCTTTTTCTAGTCAACAAGATCCAAGAAAAGAAGATCTAATACAGATGTAAGTGCTCTAAATTATGTCAATATTTATCGGAGGCGTACATCTTTAGAGAATAGAGTTATAGAAATAGCGCTGCGTTCTATTACTTATCACATCAACTTCCTGCGCCTGTATCATTCAGCAGTTATCTAATTATCGATTAAGAAGCTCTACACCAAAAAAAAATAGACCTCTATAAATGTTAATTAAATTACTTTTATCATCGAAAATATGTATTGTTGTCTCTAAGATATTAAATCAAAATCAATAAGCAGAGTTACACATTGTAAGTACAAAATTACTTATCTATATATCTATCTTACTGACTATGACCCAAGACGTTTAAAAATTTACCCAAGAGATAGAGGATAATGCAAAATATTAACATTTTTTATACTTAATTAATTAAAAATAATATTATAAGTATTATAAAAGTGACAGAGAGAAGAATACATATTTCAACTATCCTTACGTTACAAATTTTTATTGTAATTAATTTTTATAACTTATAACTTAATTAAAAAAAAAAAAAAAAAAAGATTTTTGTATCTCTACAATGTATTATGAAGAAACGTCCATGTTGTCTTCAGCTGAAGCAGCTGAAACAATTGAAAATTAAATATTTAAATTTTAGTCACATATAAATTACACATAAATTATATACACAGATGTAGACACAATAATTAAAATGGTAAAACTTACGAAATTCATTGAACATAAAATCATCTTGATATTCCTTGAGAAATTGCGTAGATCTATTTTCATCGAGAAATAGAGAGTAGACACGTTTCACATCCTCGATACTGACCTATGTACAATTGAAAATATTACAATAGTATTACTCATGGTATTACCGAACGTATTATCGACGACAGATTGTATCGCCTATTATACATACTTCCGTAGTTTTTCTTCGACGGCTGACAAGAGAAGCCGTCGTAATTAACTGTATCGCGTATCTCAGCGATGTTTCCAAAGCGATCCTCGTTAACACGGTCAGAGCATCGTCAGCCATTTCGCAATCTTCCTCTTCGCATCTTATTTTCAAGATTTCCTTCAATTCCTTCTCTTGGTACGGACTCGTTGGGACGATAATCATACGATCCAACAAGTCAATCGGAATACCGTGAGGACTCTTATAATTTGTCCCTCTGATTCTCGTGATACCTACGTAATTGTTAAATAACGATTGTTAAATTACAGTCGTGTAATAATAATATAAGTTATTTGCGCCGTCGTATCTGTACCTCTGTTTGTTGCCATAATTACAACTGGAGCCATTTCATTCTCCAATGCTCGATTTAAAAATGAGAAACATTCGATATCCAACATGTGTACTTCATCGATAAAGAGTACACCAGGGACTATTTCTGCCTTGCCTTCTTCCCGCCATTCCGCGACTTTCGCGTTTATTTGATCTCGCACTTCCGATTTTATCTCTCCGGTATCTCCGGAGAATAATGCTAAAAAGCCATGCGTTCTGCTGTTTATCACATCAACTTCATGCAACGTCACGGTGTGCACGACTTCCTTGCGTTTCTGCAATTCACCTTCTGGACATTGAACGAAACGCGTTTGCGAACCTGTCGCGTCGTAATCACGAGCTCTGGTGAAAGATCGTCCAAGTCTATTGATCTTTCCCGTGGCTTTGTCAATCGTTATGACATCACCAGCCTGTACCTAAAAATGATAAAAATTTTAATACAACGTTAAACAAGACGTTGATCTATTTAAATATACAAGTATACTAACTTTTTCTTTCATTAAGCAATCAATCATTTTGTTTCCTAAATCATAAATGGTTTCCATCTCGGTAGTCTTCAATGTCAATTTGCCAACTTTTACTCCAATTCCAGTTGCTGGCCTGTCAACTTGAATCTCCACTACTTCGCCCTCTATGATTTCTGTCTCCTCTTTTATTCTGACTCCGATAGACTTCCTGATAGCTTGAGTTAAGGCTTCCGTTTTACTCATCTCTAAAGAGTAAATTTCAGAACCAGCCATTGCCGTGAAAGGAGTATCCGCACCCAAAGCTTGTGCCATTCCCATAGCAATAGCGGTTTTTCCTGTGCCGGGTTGTCCAGCCAAGAGAATCGCACGACCTGCTATTTTACTCTCCTTAATCATCTCCATGACAACGCCGACAGCTCGGCGTGCCGTGAGCTGGCCAACCATGCCTTGAGAGACCTAACAGAGTAACGAAAAATGTTAATTCTTATCATTTGTATTTAAAAATATCAATAACATTATTTGGAAGAAACGCTAGATACGTACATTGCGAGGCTCTAAACTATCATTCAATCCTAAACCTCTGATATGGGAATGGGCACCGATACGCTCTATCTTAGTGATCTCACGAACTTCTTGCACATTAGTAACAATCTGGAAGAAAAGATAATAATTGAAAGCATAGTGGGCGCTTTAATATCTGCATATCGCACAATTCATAAATAATTGCAGTAAAATGGATCAAACAATTGGTTGCTATGTCAACCCATATGAAGCACAAAATTATACCGGTAAATATCTATGCTTTCTTTTATAAAACCAATATAATAATTTTATAAAAACAACATATATATATATAAACAATATATAAATACAAAGCACAACAGAAATATAGCTCTATATTTGTACGTATATATGTATATGTTAAGAGCTATGTACAGGTTAATCGGCATTTTTGCTGTAATAATGTTATAAAATTATAAGAGGATTATAGGAGGAGAGAACGAATTATCTTTCATATAGACAAATGTACTTATGGCAGATATAATTAACGAAGAAATCTCTTACCGCCATGCTTAATAATAATGCTGTTTCGCAAATGCGAAACGGTACGATGCGAGGTACGACCAAATACGACCAATGTGGCGAACCACCGCGTCAACCGTAAACAACCACGAGCCACGAGGCGCGAAACCGTTATACCATTCTGACCATTCTGACCATTCTGACCATTCTGACCTCTGGTTAGTGGAGTATTTGTCGATACTAATACTATTCCCTAGTCAATGAGCGGTTTATTATTAAAATTGTCCAAACCGACTGAAATAATAATGTAAAGACATTAATAATATTAAATTCGCAAATGCAATGTTATACAAATTTTGTTATTTTATATATCATTAAATATTGAAAAAAGTGACAAAATTAAATTTATTAAACGCTCATTTGATCTAATTATTGACGAGTGGGATCCGATTGACCACGTCGTCGTCGTCGTCGTCGTCGTCAATTGGCTGATTTGAAGTAAAAATATCTGATTGGCTGTCCAGTGGAAAACTCTAGGCACCGGGGGCTGTGAGTGGCTGTGATCAATCGCAACGTGGTTAAACGGGATGCTTCCGTTCGAGACTAGAGCCACCTTGGAATTTGGAATTAAGCTCGGTGTCCACGATGCAAGAACTTGGTCCAAGTTTTGGTTTAAGCCAATCAACTTGCAGCTCTTACAGAAAAGCAGCAGTTTCATTGGCTTAAACCAAAACTTGGACCAAGTTCTTGCATCGTGGACACCGGGCTTTATGCTTTCTCTCACGTCGCACAGGCAGGCCCAGGCAGGCCTAGCACGCAATCACGCATTCCAGTTAGTATTTTCAGTGGAATAGTGGATAGACGTGACGGGGGGACATGTAATAGCGTTCGATATCCAATAGAAAGTTTAATTTCCAGAGATCAAGGCATTGTTACTAGTGTCCGTAGAAATCGTAGTCTCCTATTGGGAATGGCTAAACTGCGATACGCTATCTGGTGGCAAAAACAGAACTAAAAAGAGTAGGTCGCCGGCGGCCACATAAATAAATCGAATTGCGGCATGAAGGCGTCGAATTGGTAAAATTGCATATTTCACTTATGGGCAGTCTCATTTTAATTACTGAAATTTATAAATAAGCACATACGTCGTATTGTATTGTGACAAGTGACCTACTCTCTCCGGCCATTTTGCCTTGGTGACGTCATGACCGCCAATCCCAATTGGATTTCGTTCGATCAACGACATAGGGTGTGTTCCTTTTTTACTGCCAGTACTGAAAATCTATAGTATACGTGACGCAAACTATAGATTTTCAGTACTGGCAGTAAAAAAGGAACACAGGGATATTACCAATCAAGAAATTGCAAAGTTTCTTCACAGTCATAAAAACGGAAGTCATACCGCGGCGGAAGTGACGGTCGCGGCCCCGCGGCCGCGCAGCGGATGTCATCGCCCAAGAGAGAGAGAGAGTAATGGCGTCCGCGGCGAGCGCACGATACTCTCGCGGTTCGTCTCGTCGTCTGTCGCACCGCGAGCTGAATGTTGAAGCGAAACTGGCTTGGCCTTAGCTTTCAACATTTCATCGCGAGAGCTCTCTCTCTCTCTCTCTTCTAGTTTAGAATCGACCGCGTCTAGCCACAAACGAAGCCCGAGAACCCTTCGAGACGATACGAGGATCGGCGAAAGCGTGGCAGTCGAGCTGGTGGTTGTGTGTACGTTTTCCACGTTCTTCACGTCGTCAACGAAAAGAACGTGACTTCGACTTTCGAAACGTTCGTCGATTCGGCGCGATAATCCCGGTTGTCAACTCTAATCGATCGATAATAAAATAATGGACTGAGAATTTTTGGAACCGCACATTTCGTCGTACATCGTTGTCCTATCCTGTGTGCTACATATATGGAGTAACGTGACGTGTACATATCGTTTTCATCATTCTTGCTCGATTATTCGATTTATAATTATTGGAAAAAATTGATTCTATTTTTTTTCTTATCAATAGAAATCTAATTTTTATAATTGAGTCAATGCATGGTTCAAAGAATGCCGATGTAGATTTTTCTCGCGAAAGCATCTTTTTCCGCAAAATCATATAACTATAAACGACAAACTGGAGTAATTTTAGTGAGCAGTGGAAAGAGTGAATTAATAAAGAATATGTATAATATAATTTATGTTAATAGTGTTTAATATTATTTCTAATTTAATTTTTAATTTGACTTAATTATTTCATCTAAATACTTATAATTTAATAGAATTGATTGCTGAAAATTTTAAATACACCAAATTGTCAACTAATAGTTTTATTTTATTATGCTTAAAAAAGGAATGTAAGATGTTTTAAATGGCATGATATAATTAAATCTATAAGCAAATAAATATAATTCCTTGTTTGAATTGGCATATTGTCGTCTTGGAGTTTTTTTGTTATTACAGTATATTTTACATAAAGATTAATATAATTTTTATACTTTTTTTACAGGGTTCTTTACCAGGATGGATCTATCGACCGGCCATAGAGCTGTTACCGTCATGAAATATGTTTGACCCTTGTTGTCCGTTCAAATTGGACAACGTTTAATTCAAATTGCTTGTATTTATATCCTCACACAATGTCTGCAAATACTCAATTTGCGAATCCGCCGCCAGCCGTAAGCTTACCCAACATGTCCGTGCCGCCACCCACGACTCCAAACTTGTCGGCACCACCACCAAATTTAACTACCATAAATACATCGGGAAGCTATCAGCATCGATATGCAAACCATAGAGAGGGCAATCGCGGTTTTTTCAAACCATTTAGACCTTATCACGCTCCAAAAATTGTCGCTGGGGGACAAGATACTCTACAAGATGAATTTGATGGGAAGAGACTCAGGAAATCAGTTATGCGAAAGACTGTTGATTACAACTCTGCCATCATTAAAAGCTTAGAAGTAAGCATATATAAATGACGTTGTAGATTTATTAAACTAATATTTTCCGAGATCGTGTCTAAACTCGTGAATTTTTACAGAATCGAGTATGGCAGCGGGACTATAGGGATCGTCGCGCGCTTCAGCCAGATGTAATATATTATCCCGATTTACTCCCTCCACCAAGTTATATTGACAATCCAATAAATGCAGTTACCACGAGGTTCGTAAAAACGGCTACCAATAAAATGCGTTGTCCGATTTTTTGTATGGCTTGGACACCAGAGGGTAGACGTCTCGTCACTGGCGCTTCGAGTGGAGAATTTACTTTGTGGAATGGCCTTACTTTCAATTTTGAAACTATTCTGCAGGTATATTTTATGTTATACGTATTGTATGTAGTTTAGAATTAATTTATATTAGGTTTTGCTCTCGAAGGCAATTGAAAGGCAACGACTTTCTTATTATATTTATACGTATTATATGTATATAGCAATTTTAAATGTTATTTTATCATATAGAGATATCTCGAAAGATAAAACCTTGCAATCGCGATCGCAATTTCTAACTCTGAATTTCCTACAAAATATGGATGTTAATTTGCTGTAAACTGTAAAGGTTAATTATATAGTTTATTTATTTTTGTTATTACATATTACAAAACACTGATGTGATCTTTAAGAAAAGCTTTGACGAGAGAAATTAACTTTTCTGTTTAGGCACACGACAGCCCGGTCAGGACAATGGTATGGTCACACAATGAAAGCTGGATGGTAACAGGGGACCACGCGGGCTACGTGAAATATTGGCAGAGCAACATGAACAATGTCAAGATGTTTCAAGCGCACAAAGAAGCGATTAGAGGACTCAGGTATATCATCCACCACACTAGTCCTTACGTCTCTTGCGTCACTGTTGCCGATGATCGGTCCATCCTTGCCGTAGTTAGGATATCGGACGTGACTCTTCTTCTCTTCCTTTTCTGGTTTTGTGCCTTTTCTGGCAGAGCAATAGCGATTCTTGTATGGGTACACAGGTGATTTTAACAAGTCTCGATATAAAACATTGGATAGAATATAATGAAGTATAACATTCGTCGTGAAACGTGGAATGAACCATGTTCACAATAATGCTAATTGTTAAATCCCTTCAAATCAAATTTGTGTAAAAAAAAGTTTCGATATCTTTTGCCGAATTAGAAGATTTTCTGAATGGAGTAGTTCCCGTAAAATGTTTTCGATATAATTTGTGGCAAATTATATTTTTAAACCAATAAATCTAAAAATAAACTCAATTTGCAAAGCTGATAAATATAAGTAAATATTTTTACCCCGTTTTTTATCGCGACATAGAAATCAATACAAGGACGGTGTACATTTTTTGCGTACATATATGCGCGTATCGACATAATTTATGATTTGTATTCGTAGAGTCCTGGGGACCTAACTCTCGATTAACTAATTACTCCATATAGTATCGATAATGCGCTCATCACACATCAAAGTGGCACAAATTTTAAATTAAGTTATTATAATGCTATTAGGTCCTTATGGCTCTCGTTTTAAGCTGTTTATGTGGCTAGATTATTTATTCGGCAAAGATGTATGCTTTAGATAAATAAAAGAAAAAAGAAATATATATTATATATATACATATATGGCAATACCTAATCGAGATTCCCATATAATGATAAATAAAAGATGAAATATCCTGTGTCCTTCTTTATATCATTTAAGTTTCAATAAAGTTAAATAAAGACATTATTATTGCATGGCTATGAAAATAAAATATTTTATCTTTAGTTTTATGTGTCACTTGTGCCCTTTCGCAGACGAGAGAGAGAGACCGCGAGAGAGAGAGAGAGAGAGAGAGAGAGAGAGAGAGAGAGAGAGAGAGAGAGAGAGAGAGAGAGAGAGAGAGAGAGA